CCAAAGCCAGGCGGTCAGCATCGTGCCCAAAGCCAGGCGGTCAGCATCGTGCCCAAAGCCAGGCTGCCCCAGACCACAGCTGCTCTTACAGCACCACGATTTTGCCGTCTCTTTTGCTTTAAGCCAACTCTCATTTCTAAAACACCTTAAATTGGCTTTTAAAGCAATCTACTACCATTGCTGTAGATGGAAAAGCAGTATGGCTGCCCCAAATAGAAAGTAACTGAAAACCTAAGATTCTGCCCAAGGCTCTGAGCCTGATGTCTTCTTTCTCATTGTTAAAGACAAGCTAGCGTTAAACTGATTTCTTCCTTGAGGCATTTAAGTGGATCAAAAGAATTAAGACTGGATTTTTTTTCATAATGTCCTTCAATGTTATTTAATGCCTGTCAGTCACCACCAACAATCATTTCTATGGGAAACTCCTGGGAAACAGGGCTGAACTCTACACCTGTTTCCCCATCTGTAAGACGGGGATCAGAACAGGACCTATCCCACAGGAGGACTGAGATTATCATGAGACCACGCACGTGAAGTCTCAGCATACGAAGTGCCTGGTTCACAGTATAAGCACTCAAACACTGGCTATTATTATTTATCAGTTTCATGGAGGAGAAAATGTGAGCCCCATCACTAAAGAACTAAATATGGCTTGAGCAACAAAAACACCAAAACCTGAGCAACCCAAACTTCAAAGCAGCGAGGAGGGCGGACATAAAACCCTAAACACTTCATTTAACAATGGAAGACACTTTATTTTCTTTTAAATCATCTCTCAACATTTCAACTCTTGGTAGAAATCAAATGCAAAACATCTGCATTTTTAAATTAGCATATATTTATCTCAATCACAGCAACCTCATACGGTAAGATACACACCAAGAAGCACGGTCATAGCATTTCCCATTCCAGTGCACGGACACAGTTCTTCCGTGAGGAAACGTACACTGGACTTTCTCTCCCAGCACAAGTGAGTGGTTCCTGCTTTTCTCTGCTGTGTAAGTCACGTGGCATCACAGGTGGTTAAGAGTTACTGTAGTGCTGGAACGATCTGGAAATGGAAAACTAGAAAAACTAGAGCTCTCGGGAGTGGGACAGCCATCGACACTTCTGACATGTGAAAAGGAAGAACATCAAAGATGAATGCCCCAGAATGGGCTGCTCTTAGTAATAAAGTTGGTTGAAATTCAGCTGTATATACACATTGAATATCTACATGTGATCTAGATATATAAAAAAAGAGCCACAGATTTTGAAAACCTTAAAATCACTCAACTGAGTTGGAAGGACATCAGCAAATTCAGTAGCCTCAGGACTCAGCCAGATTTAAATTTGCTCAAGAGCTGAATACCTCCTTCTACCAGGGAAAACCCATTGCATGTAAATTCCTATGACATTCTATACATCACAAACACTTATGGCTAAAATATATTAGTTCACAAGGAAGTGGTTTTATTTTCAAACTCTTGCCCCACTCCTGCTCTGCACCCCAAAAGGAAAATCCAGGGGTCAGTAATTCACATGAGGAGTTGAAGGGGCCTTCAGGTCTGGAAGCTTAGGCTCAGCTGATCTCAGGAGACACGTCTGATGGGCACACGCTGACTCCTGCCCACTCTTAGTGCAAAAGGATCGCAAATGCTGCAGAGTCCTGGAAACAGGTGAAGAGAAGAGGACCGAGGTGGAGGGGTGGTGGGAATCCCAAATGCCTTTCCTTCTGAAATGAGACTCAAGAAGAAGTTTGGAGCGCAAGGTTCACACTCAGCAAGTAGCAAAGACCAGGCTGTGGATCCGCACGGTGAGGTTCCTGAATCGTCACTAGGTTATCAGTCTGCAGGCGCACAGGCCTCACGGCCCGCACTAACCCCCTAGGTGCACACTGGAGGTAGGTGTAGAAATTTATTGTAGGGAAGACAGTGGCTCTCCACCAACTCAGGGCATCGTCTCTGCTCCTCCTCTGCCCCCACACTCTCCGCTCTACCCTCGGGCTGTGGTGAGTGGAGGATACACATGGAAGGGCCTGAGGCCCTCCCTTGGAAGACTAAAGAACCCGGGCGTTTTTATAAACAGCTACATAGTTAATGTTTTAACCACTTTGAAACACACAGCAAGTTGAATATTTATTTAAAAATAAATCTCAAAAATATCTATTTACAGTACAGTAAGAGGGGCATGTGCAAACAACAGAAAGGGGCAACCAGTCAGTCCCGCTGCGGAAGGTCCACACTGCAAGGCGCTGGAGCAAAGTGCACAGACACCACGGGCTGAACGGAGCTGTGGTGGCATCAGGATGACATTCAGCTAATACTGGACTCGGTTCACCTCTGAACCGAAGGGAGTGACGTGGCGGGGAGTGAGCTGGGGATCCTTGTATCTGGGGAGGGGCGGCGAAAGGATGAGCCGCTGGAAGAGGCCCAGTGTGGCAGGAGGGCTCATTTCACAAGCCAACAGGCCTCTAGCTCGCCGCTCCAGGTGCACGTGTGGAGGTGACCTGGAGGGCCCTTCCTCGTCCAAGTTGGCTTTGCAGCGGGAGTGGTGAGCATGGCAAGAGTCCCAGAGACAGACATTCTCTTAAAAAAAAAACAAAACAACAGATGAGGGAGTGGAGAGATTAGCAAAAATTAATCTGAACGGATAGTGCCACCTCTCCCTTGTCAGGCGACAAAGCAGCCATCGGTTGAAAGATGAGTCGCTAAGTGAACTCCCACACGGTGCAGCCGGCCCCACGAGCCCTGGCAGCTCCACGGCCGAGTGCGGGCCTCTGCCTCTGAGATCACCGCCTGAACACGCCTTCCCCATGACACCACACAGGTCAGGGGTGTAGCCCTTGTAGCGGGAGGCGCGCGCTCGAGTCTACCTGTACACGAGATGGGAGAGCTGGGTGGACTTGAAGTTCAGCTGGTTGTTGGGCAGGAACTTGTGCAGCTCACCCTTTTTGCAGCAGGGATCATAATGGTAGGCGCTGAGGCAGGTGTCGCAGGAGACTTTTGAACACTGGGTGCAAGTGTTGGTGGCGCCTGGGCGGTTACAGAAGCCACAGCGGGAGGTGGCTGTGGGGGAGGGCTTGGATTTTGCGTGGAGGTGCGGCAGCCGGTCGAGGCCCTGAGTCTGGCCTGCATACCGCTCCCGCAGAGCAGACCCGTGGGCCAGGCTGTCATGGGCGGACGCCTTGCTGGGGAAAGCGCTGGGCTTGGAGGCCGAGGGACAGGCGAGCAGGCTGTCACAGCGCTGGCAGAGGGAGGAGCTGCAGGACAGACCACAGTTTTGGCACTTGGATAGGGCAGACTCTTTGGCAGGGGGCGAGCGCTTGTGATACAGGGGGTGGGCATCATTTCTGACCAGCCACACGTCCGGCCGCAGGGCATCCTGCCTCCGGTACGTGGTCCTAGGTTCCGAGTCTGTGTACAGATCCACGTCATCCTGAGGGGAGAAGTACGTGCCACGCAGCAGGCCAAGGCCATTGCTGGAGGAGGGGGATGGAAGGTCATCCAGGTTGCCATGCGGGGAACTGGACATGGCCAGGAGGGAGGGGGACGGGCGGATGATCTCGTCCTTGAGGTCGTCCCCCAAGTCTGCTGCCACCGGCTCCTTCCGCAGGCTCAACGAGGCCTTCAGGGGCGGCTTCCGGCTCTCCCAGTAGCTGTCGTAGGCGTCCACCGACCTCGAGGGCTTGGTCACGCGGGGCTTGTGGTAGTCCTTGGCCGCCCGCTCGCTGGCCGACTTTTGGAGTGCCACACGGGCCATGGAGGCTGTGAGGTGCTCCCGGCCGTCGGCCCGCCGCCGCAGGGCATCCGAGCAGCTGCGCACATCCTCTGCGCTGCTCTTGCGCTCGCTCACCACGTCCAGCTCAGAGTAGCCCTTGTCCTTGACGTGTGAGTGGATTTCCAGCATCTGCTCACACTCCACCTTGGCCAGAAAGAGTTCAAAGGAGACCATCTTCACCTGGAGGGTCTCCACGAGCTCTCTGAGCTTGTACGCAGTCCCCAGCTCGGGCACGTAGCCCATGTAATTCAGGATAGTTTGGACGTCCTCTTCCAGTAATGCTGACTTGACATAATAAACGAAGGGGCCCGTGTAGGTCTAGGAGAAGGAAGAGGGCAAAAAAAGAGAGGCAGCATTTTCTCTCTGAGACACACGACGGAGACTGCGTCATAGCCCAGGACATCCAAGTCTGAAGGGGAGCGTGCAGGGAGAGGAGGGGCAAGGGAAGGAGCGCCTCAGCGCCTCACGACAGCGGGCAGAGGCCAATGCTCACCAACAGCTCCGCACGCTGTCTCGAGGGAGGCTACACATGACTGCCTTCTGAAGCGCAGGAACAAAGCCACTGTCTACATGGGCACAGCGGCTCTGCGCCTTACAAGGAGGACACAGGGCAAACACGGGAAGAAAGGGGATCGGATTAGAGACAGAATGTCCAATGAGCAACGAGAATATTCCTTTCCGGCATTTCTACGTAGGTTCCAGTACGTCAGACTGAAGAGCCTGAGCTGCCTTTGGAACGATTCAGGATTCTCTGTCTCTCAAATTCATCCTCCTCCCTCCTTCTGGCTGTTACCACTTCGTCTAAACCATCTCTCTGGGGACCCGCACATCTGTGCAGCCTCCTAACGGGTCTCCCTGCCCCACTCTTGCCCCTCTGCAGTCTAGTTCCCATACAACAGCCAGAAGGATTCTTTTCAAACGTACACCAGATCTCAGCACTGCCCTGCTTCCCAGCCCACTTAGAATAAACCCAAGCCCTCTGCCCTGGCTTCAAGGCCCTGCATACCTGGGGTGCTGCCTACCTTTCCAACCTCACAGCTTCAGATGTGAGCTGCCGGGGCGGGGCCCAGCTAAGAGATGACACTGGACAGACAGGCAAGGTGGGGAGCCAGGGGGGTAATTCTGGTATCTCAAAGGCAGTGGGGTGTGCAAGAGGGTCTGGGGGCAGAGGAGGGATGTGAGCAGGTGGGCACAAGCCCTCTCAAGATGGACTGGAAGGGGCGAGAAGGGAGACCAGTGCAGAGGGCCCTTCCCTAGACCTTACCTTGATGCTTCTGAATTCCTTCTTCCACGGGTAGAGGAAGAGGTTGACGCCCATCGTTTCGAGCACACTGAAGGCGCAGTGCAAAGCCCGCAGGCTGGAGGAGCTCAGCGAGCGCAGGGAGCTCTCCACCACCTCATAGAACTGGATCAGCCGGAATCGATAAAAGGGATCCACCTTGTGTGAGCTGAGCAGGGTCGAGGCCGCCACCCGCAGGTACTCATCATCGCTAGGCCGCTGCTTGCTGGGGGTGGCGTCCACTTTGCCCTCATGGAACTGCACGTACTTCCGAAATAAGTCATCCTTGTATTTTGTATCCATTGAACTGGGCTTCTCCATCGGATCCAGGGACGGGAGGCTACCTTATCTCCTCCATGGCATCTGGGCTGGAGTCAGGGACATGACTAAAAGCACTGACATGTTGCTCGCCTGGACCAGCGGACTGCTCTGGAAGAGAAGAACAAGAAGCATGTCATCCTGGAAATGGTCCACAAACCAGCTCGTGGCTGCTGAGACCAAACAAACAGCAGAACTGGCCTGAGCTACACTGGCACCACCAGCCCAGGGCCCCTTTCTGCTCAATCATTCAACACATTTACTGAACGTGTACTGTGTGCGAGGCTGTACTGGAAACAAGACAGATAAGGCCCTTGACTTTGCTGAACTCACAAATGACAACTATGATTAGGGGCACCAACCCTGGTCTTGTGGTGAGAAGGAGTTTTAAAAAGCCCCCAAGGCAGTGACGGTTAGCCCTGAAGGATGAGGAGTTCGCCAGGCAAAGAGGTGGGTGAAGGGTGTACCAGCAGAGGCGTCGGCAGGGAGAGAGGCCCTGAGCTAACACTACCAGCGCCTACTATGTGCCAGGTATTCACATGTGCTCACGCGGCCCGTCTTCCTACACAACTCTGGGAGATAGGTACTACTGTTATCTCCATTTTACAGACATAAAAACTGAGACAGAGACGGTAAGAAACTTGCCCAACATTATAGAAGTATTAAGAGGCAGGCTGAGATCAGAGCTGTGGCAGTTGGGCTCCAAAGTCCATGCCCTTCACCACCACGCCCTGCTTTCCTGAGGAGGAAGGAGCCTGGGATGTGAACAGAAAGAAAGCCAGTGTGGCTGAAGCAGCGGGAGGAGGGCGGCCACAAGGCATGAAGCTGCAGGCATAAGCAGGATCCTCTTCCCCAAGGCCTCCGAGAGCACATTAAGAATTTTACATTTTATTCAGAGAGCCATGGGAAGCGCCTGAAGACTTGAAAGCAAGGGAGAGAGGGACACATCACATTTACACTTTTAAAAAGAGACCCCCTGGGCCAGCCCCGTGGCTTAGCGGTTAAGTGCGAGCCCTCCGCTGCTGGCGGCCCCGGTTCGGATCCCGGGCGCGCAACAACACACGGCTTCTCCGGCCATGCTGAGGCCGCATCCCACACAGAGCAACTAGAAGAATGTGCAGCTATGACATACAACTACCTACTGGGGCTTTGGGGGGAAAAACAAGGAGGAGGATTGGCAATAGATGTTAGCTCGGGGCGGGGGGG